AGCAAAACTTCAATATAAGTTTAACATAACAGCAAATGTACAACGACAAAACCTTGTCGAAACGTTGTACATTTGCTGTTATGTTAAACTTATATTGAAGTTTTGCTTCATTAACCATTCAAGCCATCTCCAGCCATTATTAAACATAACAGTAGCTATAAAAACCTATGTTTGTCTTCTTTCTAAAGTAAATACTGAGCAAAAAGGTTGACACCTATCATTTCTACAAAAGGGGCTTGACAAGAGCCCCAGCTTTAAAACATTTTGTAATGTTTCCTTTCCCCACCCCCCACTCCAAGTGTTATGTATATAATATTTCCACTACAAAAAATAAATACTAATAAAAAAATTATTATCTGAACACTGTTGCCAGGGCCAAAACTTTGGTTGTCATTTTGCATCTAAGTAAGACAAATGTTATGTACGCCACATGAGAAGCACTGAAAACAGGGGTCCTTTCCCCCACTTTTATATATAAAATCTGGGTGAGAGTACAGTACAAAATGGAGACTCAATACATTACTTCATAAGTGATCTAAAGTTCAGCAAAAGGAATAAAAAAAATAAAGCCAGGAGAATTGGATAAGGAACTCACCCTCTGCCCCTGCCGATGATTTCTTTCACTTTCTGCTAAAGCTAAGGCTAACTGTCGATCTTCCTCTTCCTGATTAATTGGAGAACTACTGGAAACACAAAGCATATCTTACATTTACTGTAATAACTTGCATATACATGTGAACTCAGTAAGTAACAGAATCTTAATCAATAAATGTCTGGGGAGAGAAAAAAACAAATTGAGCTAATTTCCCATGTGATCAGATGCTGTGGTTTCTGTAGAAAGCACGTCTAGTTTAATAGTTCTGTTGGGAATTGAAGTCCAATAATATTTTTTTGTGCTTTAGTTCCCACAGTTTTAATATACCCACATATGTGTCGACTGCTTGTTGTGATAGACCAGAAAATGCTTCATTATACACACCGTTTTGACCTTTTGTTTTGCTATCTGAAGGTCAATCACCTTCCATTGTCATTCTTATCTTCAGTAGATGTTTACTAAGCATGACTTGCCGGCATCCAATCTATGGAACACCCATCTCCCTTATCGGGTGTTTACATGTAATCTACGACTGTTGAGAAAATGGCTATCCCTAAAGTTTACTGTAAACACAGAGCTTCAATTCTTTTTGAAACTTTTAACAAACATTTTCAAAGGTACGTATGCACAACCAGAACAACTCAAAGGTACGTGTGCACAACCAGAATAACTCAAAGGTACGTGTGCACAACCAGAATAACTCAAAGGTACGTGTGCACAACCAGAATAACTCAAAGGTACGTGTGCACAACCAGAATAACTCAAAGGTACGTATGCACAACCAGAATCAACTCAAAGGTACGTATGCACAATCAGAATAATTCAAAGGTACGTATGCACAAATTGTTTTATCATTTTTTTCTTCCAATACCATTAATCAATTAAATTTTAAGATATAAAATAACTTGTGTTTGAAGTCTGTTAGTAAATGTGTAGTCCACAAATATGTTCCAAATCTCAATTAATTGTATGTTCTATTAGATGAATTAAACATAACCTAAAAAAACAAATTTCGAATTTTAGGCTAAAGCATGGTTTACTTAGAATTGTTGAATAATTGATGTTCTACAAGACGTTAGGAGAAAAATTTGGATAAAAGTTTTGTAGTTATATTTTGTGTGATGTTTCAAGTAGACGCCCTTTGTCGGGAAGTAAACACCATTTTATAAAGGAATTAGGCGCCGAAAAAGTCATTGAAAGATAAGAAAATACAAAGGTTCTAATTATACACATTCAACATAGTAAACTTATTACGTAATTATTATTAAAATAAGCAAGAATATGGAAAATAAGTAATTAGAAATATAAACACAGGAAAATAATAAACATAAATGTGTTTACTAAGATAAAATTTTAACCGAGGGAAATAATTACAGAGAGGAGATGTCTTTCTCCAAAGTAAAGTTAAAGTCGGACGTTTAACAGGTTTAAGGGAATGATATTAGAGAATGGTGTGACTGAGTTTTATAATTATTTATTTGAAGGTAAATCTTTTGTTAATAGCAAAAGGGGACTTGGTGCTGAGTTGGAAGATAAGACTGTGTTCAAGGAATTTTCGTTTTAATGTGTTAAGCTGTGCATTTCTTATGACTAAGACTACCGTATGAGAGGTGCCATTGGGGTAAGGGAAGATGAAGTGTTTAGGAACTGGGAGGTCAGTGGAATCTTCTTTCACAGACCTAAGATGTTCAAGAAAACAACCACCCAGTATACAGGCGACACCTGCTACACTGGATGCAGTAAACAATGCATTCTGAGGTGTAGAATGTAACTAGGGCCAGTTATCGTGGTGGTATTTGAAATGTATGAACACGTATAACATTTTTCTGGTCCGACTTGTGAATTCCCGTTGTTTACAATGAACATTATCCTTTACTTGTATCTTATCAAACTGCTGTTAGATTAGGCTTAGGTAAGTATCAGCCTTTTAAACAGGTTGTTTGAGCAAAAAAAGTGTATTCTCAAAAACAATGAGGAGTAATAGTACTTGTGAAAACACGAAATCTACATGATACAAATTCATCTAATTACATAGGTTTTGTATGTTGTAACTTGAACATCAGTGATGCAAGTTCCTTTAAAACGACATTTAGAACAGTTATGTTGTCATACTGGTTAAATATTAACATATTTAAAACAAACTCAGCCAAGTCCTGATGCTGTGAAGTGGAACTTCTTTTATCACATTCATGGGTTTCACTTAGTTCTCGTAAAGACACTGTTTGTGAAATATCTCACCTAGTGGCATCTACTGCCTGTGACGGGGTCCGAGATTGTGACGCCGACTGTTGTAGAGCTATAGCCAATGCTTCGTCTTCACTCTGCAACACAAAAGGTAATTACTTTGTTCATCAAACAGATTTTATTATAAGTATAAAATAATTTCAATGTTAACATTTAAACCTGTAGTTGGAAGTATCTACATATGGATGATTCTTCCTTCCATAAAAATGTGATTGGTGTATAATTTCTAGTATATTTTCTTGTACACAACCTTCTAAAACAACCACGTGAAAAACTTACCAGGTTGCCCTGAATAGCAGTAACCGATGTATTAATTGTACTGCTACTGTGGGAAGGCACAGAAGACCTTGGGTGACTACTGGTTGTAGTCTTAGTTGCTAAACTGCTACTTGGCTTTGGTTTGTTCTTGGCTCGAGCTAATGCTGCTGCCCTAGAGAGATGAGGTACAAATTAAAAATAATACAGTTCTAAGACATACAATTTAGTAAAAGAAAGTAGATCAACCAAAGCAGTCGAGTTTAAAATCAACTGCCAATTACGCTGATCCACGAGTTCTCACCCAACCCATTACCTTCACATCCTGCTCTCCCCATGCTCGTTAAATCTTTCCATAGGTCCGTCAATGTTACAGAGCTTGTAACCATAAAGTAATCAGTTTCCATACTTTAGCATTCATTGTTTTGTATCTTCACAAAACTTTCAGTAAACATTACAAGTCAAGTTTTTTAATTCAGTATTCTCACTAAACATTTCTCCTTGAATATATGGAATCAGAGTGTTGACTGCTCCAAGTGCAAAGTGATTTTCATGTTAAGATAAAAAATACTTTTCTTCATCTGAAAATTTTCAAATTTCGTTTCTCTAAACCCCCCTAAATAAATATCAACTGTTTTTATCAGTTGAACTCTATATTTTATTTATTTTATCTACCCTAACTGTACAGACTGTCAATTTGATCGACCCTGTAACCACCATCAAAAAAATAAGAAATATATCTAAATTATCCTTGTTTTTTCTAGAGTTACTGCAAATTACAATAAGAAATAAAAATTGTTTATCCTAAATATCTTAAGGCTCGTAACAATTTACATCTGTTTCTAATTACTTTTATTAACATTTGAACCTGGTCTAACTAGTAATCCTGTCATAAAACTTGTAAATCACTTGGATGACATATAGCTTAAGTTACTGTATTGAACAACACCATGCACGAGCTACTTGTGAGCATACCTCGTTGAGGATCATTAATATTACTTTTTAGTTACTTTAATAGCAATAAATAAAAAATATAGTACTTTCCTTTGACCTCGTGTTTTCTTGCTCTTCGTTACCGATATACTTTAAGGGAACTTTTTTGTATACTGATGGTACTAGTACATTAAATTTTTATTTACCTAAACAAGACACCTACGAACACAGAATAATAACATGCACAGAGCAATGTTCTGTAACTATTATAATTTAACTGGCTTTCTAACTATGGCATAAGAGCCTGTAAATAATCCCCTAAGTTTCTCAAACTAAACACCACAAGAGAAATTTTTAAGATGAAATAGACAATACTCTGTACTGTAAACAACGTAATACGTCATTTGATAGATTAAAACTCTGCCTTCCTATTTGTTGTAAATATAAAACAACAGAGAGAATTACTGGCAATTTTGAAAGAATGGATGTAACAGGTGAGAGTCGCCAGTGGATCCGACTTTATAACTCTGGAAACAAAAAAAGATTGAAGGCTATAAAAATTATGTTTTGTATTAGTAATATCTTTATAGTAAGTAATTTATGTTAAGCTCCATACTTCAGGCAAGACCTAGAGAACAAATATCACAATTCTCATACAAAGGGGAGATTGAGAATTTATTTAAATATTTCCCCCTTAAAATTAAGTAATCAAAACTTGTATAACATTAAAATTTGATTTATTAACTACGTTTTGATGTCAAGTTTATTTGTATACAATGATAATAAAGTAGTTTAAAAGGCCGTGACACGTGCATTTAACCTACCCGTAGCAAAAGGGTTAAGATGACCCACATACAGGTTCTCCTCCTGTTCATTGCATGATATTAATTAAGAGCACCATGTACAAGTGAACACCGAGTGAACATCTGTCGTACAGAACATTACCCACTTTCAAAGTTAAACATACATTAAAACAAGATACTAAAATTATTACAGAAAATAAATACAGTCAAAAGAGGCTTGATATTGTTAAACTATTGATTGACAAATATTTTTCTAGGTATATATTCCTTCTTCTTTGAAAACAGAAACAAAAGCATTATTCATCTATAATTGGAGCTGGCAAACTTAAGATATGTAAAACAACTGTTAAAAATACATACCCCATGGGTGAGATAACACGAGAGTTCCCCTGTAACCCTTGACAACTGTGGTCAATGGTATGGCGATGTTTTAAACAGTAATTCTGCTTACATTGGCTGCATGTTACTGGAACCAACTGAAACATTTGGTAATTTATGGTTACAACCTCAAAACAAGTGTTTCTAATGCCTTGTTCACAATTATTATTAACTTCTGACCAAACCAAGTTAGAAATGTAGACCAGAACTAAAAAATTAACCCAGTAATTAATGTACTGGTCTAATCAGGAATGTAACACGTCATAAAACCAGAGCTAAAAAATTAACCCAGTAATTAACATACTGGTATAACCAGGAATGTAATGTGTCATAAAACCAGAACTAAAAAATTAACCCAATGATGTGTTACATTCCTGGTTAGACCAGTATGTTAATTACTGGGTTAATTTTTTTAGTTCTAGTTGTATGACGTGTTACATTCCTGGTTAGACCAGTATGTTAATTACTGGGTTAATTTTTTAGTTCTGGTTTTATGACACATTACATTCCTGGTTAGACCAGTATGTTAATTACTGGGTTAATTTTTTAGTTCTGGTTTTATGACACATTACATTCCTGGTTAGACCAGTATGTTAATTACAAAATTAACCCAGTAATTAACGTACTGGTCTAACCAGGAATGTAACGTGTCATAAAACCAGAACTTCATCACTTCAGTACCCTTGTGCTTAATGATATTTTTGCTCCCAAAAACAGTCGCATATTTCTTACAAACACACACAATTTGCATTTTTCATGTTAAAAGTTTTAATATTTACATCGACTAGTACACAATTCTGTAATGCCAAGTTACAATACCACTATATTTATATATTAGAAAAATAATTATAAAACAGAGAATTAGTGAACTTAAACAATAATGGCTTACTAGGTTATATTAAAAAAAACTAATTAAGATAGAGTATTATAGTTTAGTTTTTTTGTTGAGCTGAAACGTAACTTTGAGAAGGCTTGCCAATACAACATAAAACAAAAACACGTATGAAATAATAAAAAAACAAATACAATATTTGAGAAGCATTTGCATTCTTAGCCATCAATAATAGCAATGATAAGAAATTATTAATTTTTTTGTATTTCTAGAACCTATTTGTAATCTTTTTATTATACAGTAAGGAAGAATGTCAGCTGAGTTTTTATTTTCAATCTTTTATCTGCCAACATCAAAGTTTAGTGCTCATACACACATTAATTTTTTAAAAACCTAGTTCAACAGATTATTTAAAACCCTTGTAAGCTTTTAGTAAACCTGCTTATAATTTAATTCTGGCCGAAAAAAACATTGTTCTATGAACGACAAAAAATAAACTATGTATGTTAGAAAGGAAGGTATCAAGAATATACACTGTACTACAAGTTGCATATGTTACTATACACTGTACTACATGTTTGATTTAAATTTAGCAGTGTTTAACACTATTTCATGGAGACATTCTTCTCATTAGCTCTTTTCATACCTATGTAAAAATTCTAAAAATATTAAATCTCTTCAAAAGATAACTGAGTCTGACAATGATAAGAAAGCACTCATGGCAGTTGACAGTTTTTAGGAAATCCTCATGAGACACAGTTTCACAAACTCTTAAACTATATTGAGAATTCCAAGTCTTTAAAAACAGTCACATTCCAAAATGTTCACGGTAATAAAAGTCAGCAGAGCTCTTGATATTTCTGATGAAAAAAAAATGTCAGTTAATTTCCATAGAGTAACTAAGATATTAATTATATTGTTTGTTTTTAAGCCAAGCT